GCCCAATTCATTGGTTTTGTTTGTTTTTGTTTGTTTTCGCTTGTCCGTCGGCTGCACTGGTCGCCCCAGGCTCGCCCGCCGCCCCGCGGTCGCTCGGCCCCTCGGCTGGCCCAATTCATTGGTTTTGTTTGTTTTGTTTGTTTTCGCTTGTCCGTCGGCTGCACTGGTCGCCCCAGGCTCGCCCGCCGCCCCGCGGTCGCTCGGCCCCTCGGCTGGCCCAATTCATTGTGGCTTGTCCGTGTTTGTTTTTGTTTATTTCCGCCGCCTTGGTCGCTGGCCCAGGTTTTGTTTGTTCTTGTTTGTTTTCGCTTGTCCGTCGGCTGCACTGGTCGCCCCAGCTCGCCCGCCGCCCCGCGGTCGCTCGGCCCCTCGGCTGGCCCAATTCATTGGTTTTGTTTGTTTTTGTTTGTTTTCGCTTGTCCGTCGGCTGCGCTGGTCGCCCCAGGCTCGCCCGCCGCCCCGCGGTCGCTCGGCCCCTCGGCTGGCCCAATTCATTGGTTTTGTTTGTTTTTGTTTGTTTTCGCTTGTCCGTCGGCTGCACTGGTCGCCCCAGGCTCGCCCGCCGCCCCGCGGTCGCTCGGCCCCTCGGCTGGCCCAATTCATTGGTTTTGTTTGTTTTTGTTTGTTTTCGCTTGTCCGTCGGCTGCGCTGGTCGCCCCAGGCTCGCCCGCCGCCCCGCGGGCGCTCGGCCCCTCGCTGGCCCAATTCATTGGTTTTGTTTGTTCTTGTTTGTTTTCGCTTGTCCGTCGGCTGCACTGGTCGCCCCAGGCTCGCCCGCCGCCCCGCGGTCGCTCGGCCCCTCGGCTCCGTCCGCTGCACTGGTCGCCCCAGGCCTCGCCCCCGCCCCGCGGTCGCTCGGCCCCTCGGCTGGCCCAATTCATTGGTTTTGTTGTTTCTGTTGTTTTCGCTTGTCCGTCGGCTGCGCTGGTCGCCCCAGGCTCGCCCGCCGCCCCGCGGTCGCTCGGCCCCTCGGCTGGCCCAATTCACTGGTTTTGTTTGTTGTTGTTTGTTTTCGCTTGTCCGTCGGCTGCACTGGTCGCCCTGCGCACGCCCGCCGCATGTCTGTCGCTCGGCCATTCGGCTGGCCCCATTCCATGGATTTCTTTGCTTCTGTTTGTTTTCGCTTGCCCGTCGGCTGCGCTGGTCGCGCCAGGCCCGCCCGCCGCCCCGCGGTCGCTCGGCCCCTCGGCTGGCCAAATGCATTGGTTTTGTTTGTTTTTGTTTGTTTTCGCTTGTCCGTCGGCTGCGCTGGCCGCCCCAGGCCCGCACGCCGCCCCGCGATCCGCTCGGCCCGCGCTGCCCTTCAAATTGTTTTTTTTGTTTATAGTTTTGTTTCGCTTGCCGTTCGGCTTGCACTGGACGCCCCAGGCTCGCCCGCCGCCTTTCGGTCACTCGGCCCCTCGGCTGGCCCCACTCCCTGGGTTTCTTTGTTTCTGTTTGTTTTCGCTTGTCCGTCGGCTGCACCGGTCGCCTCAGGCTCGCCCGCCGCTCCGCGGTCGCTCGGCCCCTCGGCTGGCCAAATACATTGGTTTTGCTTGTTTTTGTTTGTTTTCGCTTGTCCGTCGGCTGCGCTGGTCGCCCCAGGCTCGCCCGCCGCCCCGCGGGCGCTCGGCCCCTCGGCTGGCCAAATTCATTGGTTTTGTTTGTTCATTGGTTTTGTTTGTTCTTGTTTGTCTTCGCTTGTCCGTCGGCTGCACTGGTCGCCCCAGGCTCGCCCGCCGCCCCGCGGTCGCTCGGCACCTCGGCTGGCCCAATTCATTGGTTTTGTTTGTTCTTGTTTGTTTTCGCTTGTCCGTCG